TCAGAGCTGGCTGGGCCATGTGGATCAGGTCCTTCTCTCCTCTGGGTGTCTTCGGGGGGCACCTTGGGCCTGAGTCTCCCTCCAAGAGGCAGAAAATGAGTCTGGTGGGCTAGAGATCTCACCCATTCAGTGGGCTGGGGCTACAGGCACCCCAACAGTTAGCTGGAAACATCTGGAGGAGGATTGGGCTTTCACTCAGCGGGTGGCCGTGGTATGGAGGATCCACACTCCGCCCATGTGGGTCAGCTACAGGAAGTGGTAATAACGTGGAGAAAATATAAAAGCCTGAGAGGCTGCAAACTGAACAGAATTCTTTTTTTCATGAAGCACAGGAGCATTACTACAACCAGTCTCAGCATTGCCAAGGGACAGACAGATCCCAGCATAGGTCAGGAGAAGGTCTGACTATAACCAAGAAGTCATGTTAGTGTGTTAGTAATAGACAGCACCCACAAACCCTGGGCACTTGGCAGACTCGTACCAGCTTTGCCTGCGTGCCAGGCAGAGAGCTGGTTCCACACCATTTGTGTGGTCTGCAGGAGCTTCTGCTGCTGAATCGTGTTGAGTGGCCGATGAGGAACAGCCCCTGCGACGGGCCCGCTGGCATTGTTCATCCTGTCAGTGGATTTAGTGTCCTGTTCTCTGTCAGGGAGTTTTTCTCAAGATGAAAAGTGTTTCAAAGAAACACTTACTTGTGAGTGCCTTAAAGGTAGACAATGACTGCCAGAGCTGGGAGACAGGAGGTCGGTGCTCAGGGGCTGTGAGAGTGGACTGTGTCCATGAGCAGAGCCCCTCTCAGCGGGAGGGAGAGTGAGTAGAAGGAAGGTTAGCAGTGCCCTGGATGGTGTCCAGTCCCGTTAAAGACACTATGTCCCAATCTTCCTAACAATCTGTGTGGAAGTCAAGGAAAGAATTTACTCTCAGTTAGGAATCTGCTCAAAGAAAATTTGAAACCTGTGAGTCAGAGTCAAAGAAACTTATCCAAGCAACATAATTCATGTTTTCACGAGTCCTATAGATGTTTGAGTCAGGAAAAGAAGGAGGGAGGTGACTATGAGAAATCCGCCCTTTTTTATTCAGCATCTGGGGATTGCAAATGCAGAAGGAAATCTATTCAGCAAGGTGTAGGCCATGCCTTGGCTTAGTAATAAAACAGCTTAGTAGTAAAGGCTCAGCTACTCTGTACATGAACTGCTCCAAGCAGGGTTACTGGGCAAGTGTGCAGATCCATTCAGCTGGGACTGTGCCTGCAGCCTACAGGGTGGAAGATTCGATCCCAGTGAGAACAGAGTCATTTGTTACAGGTATGAAAGCCTAAGGAAATTATCTTTTTGCAAAAGAAATATTAAATGATTTAACAGTCCCTGTATGTGTTAATGTTTCAAATATATTTGTATCATAATGTGTAACATAATTGTGTAACAAAAATATCTACAATAAATCTTTTAGTATTTGTGATGGGTTTTCTGAGTGTGAAGCACTACACTTTGGGAGGGTTCTTACGTTAGGTCACAAAGAGCTGGGGTGGGGCAAAAGGGTAGGTGTTTGTGTGTTTAAATTAATTCTTCCACTTCTTTCCAAAAAGAATTTGCAGCTACGCAAGATAAAAGATTACAGTTATACAAAAGTCCAAAAAAAATTTGGAGGATCCATGTTGACCTGGACATAATGATTTCTGACTGCTTGGGGCAAAGGAAAACTACCTAACTTAGCTCAGAGCCTCCTCAAAAACAAGACAAAGAGGGAAACAGCTCCTGCTGTCTGACCGAGAAATGTACTGGTTTGTCTGTGCCAAGGTCTGAAAGAGTTACTCCTGTGACACCGCCCTGCTGTGACCATCTGCTGTCATAATGGCTAAAAAATTACCAAAGATGCAGAAACATTCCAGAAATGACCACTTTTTATATCCACTCTTACTAAGAACTAAAGGCTTTGAAAGCTTTGGTTCTTCAAAGGCAACATGTTCTGCGGGGAGGAGGCACGTGATGCAGTCCAAGTATGGGACCAGACTTCACTCAGTGTCAGCCTTTAGGGAGCAAGTGGTCTGGCGGAAGGAGAGTAGGGCCATTGCTTAGATCCCTTCCTGTTAACTGTTGCAGCCATGCTTTGACAGGAGCCACAAAACAGAGTTAAAACTCCGTGTCACAGGCAGTGCCTTAGTTGAGGACTCGCTCTTCCTGACTGAAGGAGCCTGTGTGAATGGGGCCAGCAGAGGTGACCCTGCTCCAAGGGGAAGGTCCCCCATCTGCCCGAGGTGGGCCACAGGGCCACCAGCCAGCGGGTCCAAGGTTTTCTCAGAAGCTGCTTTTTGGAGTTTGGCCTAAAACCCAAAAGTTATTACAGGTGTGAAAGTATTAGTATTGGTGAGTTTTTCTGAGTTTGAAGCACCAGGGAGCACACAGAGGTGGGACCTTGGTCTACATGGCTGTGGAAAGGACCTTGGGGGATTCCCTCTGGTTGGGCCTCCTAGTGCATCCTCACGGCTGGCCGAGGCGGCTACTGGCAGTGTGAACTTTGGTTATGGAATAATTAATATTGGACTCTTTCTTTCGCTGAAATTAGCTAACAGATTGAACTATTTTTTTATTTTTAAAAAACTTTTTACAGAATACAAAAATGTTTATTATATAATATGAAACTTTAGCAAATATAGTAAGGTGTAAAAAATTTTAAGTTACCCATAATTCCCCTTCTCAAAGATACCCACCGTTAATATTCCAGTGCATTTCTTCCTGTCTTTGTGTATATTATATGTGTATGTGGGTTAGGACCCCATGGTTGAGACTTCTGTCTCAGGTGCTGCTTTTTTTTGTGTGTGAGGAAGATCAGCCCTGAGCTAACATCCATGCTAATCCTCTTTTTGTTGAGGAAGACTGGCTCTGAGCTAACATCTATTGCCAATCCTCCTCCTTTTTTTTCCCCAAAGCCCCAGTAGATAGTTGTATGTTATAGCTGCACATCCTTCCAGTTGCTGTATGTGGGATGTGGCCTCAGCATGGCCGGAGAAGCGGTGTGTCGGTGCGCGCCCGGGATCCGAACCCGGGCTGCCAGTAGCAGAGCACGCGCACTTAACTGCTAAGCCACGGGGCCGGCCCCTGTCTCAGGTGCTTCTTAAGGCCACTCCACTTACATGATGTTGGCCCTTACTACAACCTAGCGTGAGTGGGAAGTTTCTTCTTCAGAACCCAGATCTCCCAATAATTAGTGAAGTCTAGTGAGGAAGGTTATCGGGTTGAGGTGTTTGTGAAAAGCTGTCTGTTCTGGTGCATTCTAAAAAGGTTCTTGAGCATGCAGCGTGCCCTAGGCAGTGGGTGCTTCCACTGCTGCTGCAGAGTCAACACTGCCAGGAAGGGGCAGGTCTGCTCCGTCCCAGCCAAGGTACTGCGGAGCTGATGATGGGTCCATCTGTAGGGCAAAAGAATGACTGGGGCTTCCCAGGCGGGCTGGGGTGGGGGTCAGGGGCCACTGCCAGCTGTGCGGGGTGACAGGGCAGGGTCTGGTGGGAGGGACTGTCAGTGGCATCAGATGGACCAAAGCTGCAGATGAGAATAGAGCCGGCTCCTTGGGAAGTGGGGAAGGGCGCCTGGGCAGGAAAGAAGAATTACAACCGCCATGCTTAGTTGGCCATTTACTGCACCATGCACCTGCACGTGAACACAGATTCTTTTAGCACGGTAGGGGATGTTAGCCTCACTGTGCAGACGGGGAAAACGGAAGCTTCAGCTGCTCACAGCTAGTGCATGGAGAAGCCAGGATTTGAGGCCAAGACTAGCTTCAAAGACAGTCCTTTTGTCCTAGGCTCCTGGGGGTGGGGACGTGAAAGAGGGGAGGTTGGTGGCTTCTGTGAAATACTCAGATAACACCAGTGTGGCCTGCAGCCCAAAAGGAGCGTTCTCAGGATTCACAAGCCTCTGCCGGACACCAGCAGTGGCCATGATACATTCAAGTCCTCAATACCAAGAGGAGGATAAAGGAAGACGTGTGAGAAGGTGCTCATTTATAATTAATTTAAAGAAATTAGCAGGAAATTGAAACAGTACATTTTTACATTTTAGTAAGATCTGAGATTGTACAGTTAATCTGTTCATTTCCCACCATGCCCAGCAGGCAGTCTCTTTTCTGGTAGAAACATCTAACATGCCAACCAGTGACGTCTGAAATAATAGAACCTTTGTGTAAGCATATGGTTTTGGTTTTCCCTTTAAAATGATTCAGAGCATTTCCTCTGCTGGAGTGAGGGGGGGCTGTGCCTGCCAGAGCTAGCACCTCAGGGGACAGCCCCCTTTGCAGCCTGAGCTGGAAACATGGCCCCACTTCCTCGGGTGAGGTGGCTCTAAAAGCTGAATGCCACCTCCTGTGGCTTAAGTAAGTGCTCACCAGACCAGAGCCACTGCGGCCTGGAGGGATAAAGATGCTCAGGGAAATCCTGAGTTTCCTTACCAACAACTCCTAAGCTTGTGCCTCTAATCTCTAAGAAGGGACATAAACTCCTGCAAATGTTTGAAGAGCGGCTGTGCAAAGAGGGGACCAGGCTTGTTCCACGTGGCCTCATTGGCTGGAATTGAGCACGAAAGTCAGGAGAGCTTTCCTCCTCCACAGGTAGCGAGCTCCTCGTGACTGAGTGTGAAAGCAGGGCAGGCGTGAGGTGTAAGGACTGGTGTAGGTAACATTTTGAGGTCTTTCAGGGAATGAGGCTAACGCCGCCTTCTTCCAAAAAATGCTCCCAATTCTTAGTGTGTGTGGTAGTTCCCTTCTAGTCATCACTATGTTAAGGGAAAAACTAGAATTAGTAATAAAATGTGGGGCTCAGAAAGCTACCGTAAGGTAAAAGTCATTCATTCATTCAAAACTTCAAGCACTCATCCCAAGAAATGTTTCGTTAAAACCTGAGGGTCATCTTGGCCATAATGAAATTATGTCTTTGAAATTGAAACCCTGTGACTGATATTCTATTTCTTTTGGAAACTCCTTCCTGGTTACTCAGCGTCGTCATGAGTCACATGCAGTGATAACCTATGATTTCTTCTGCAACTTGAACATGTGGGGCCGTTTGTAGGAATATCCAAGGACATCACCTTGGGTTACCAGAGGGTATAAAATTATACAACCTGGGAAAACAACAAAGTGGACGTTATTGTTTCTTTCAAGGAACTGTTGTGTCCATATTTCTCAGCCCCCATGGACCAATTCAGTTCACAATAGAATTGATCCTCAAGTTCTTCAGATTTAAAAACTGAAGGATGGCCAAAAATTATGATCAATTAAAAACAGATCTGAAGCCTTCTGCACACTTCTCGAGGAAGAAGAGGATGGGTGAGGCCCAGAGCTGAGCTGGGTGGTGCCGTGTCCATCTGAGCCTCTGCTCTGTGCCAGGCCTGCAGCCCTGGGGGCAGCTTGGAGAGGAGTGGTGCCCCACAGTGAGAAAGAAGGACCCTTCCCCCTCCTCTGACAGCAGGGGACCGTCCGGGCCCAGATCTCACCCCAGTCCCCTGGTGGCTGTGGGCTCTGGCCCAGCCCGTGGCACTCGCCTCTCGATGGGCAGTCACACGTTGAGGATCCGGGGAGCTGAAGCCTGAAAGATGGCTGAGGGGTTAGGAGCAAACTTCTTCACCTCAGGGACCTGAAAAATGAAATGTGGCCACGTATCAGTGGGCCTTTTCCTCGCCTGTTCCCCTCCGCCCCAGCTCCAGGAAAAAAATTCCCTCCTCCCAGAGCCTCCTCTTTGTCCTCCCAGAGTTCAGACTACCAAGGGTCCGTAGGGGAAACTTCCACAGTGGGCAGGGTCACTGCATTAGTAGGTCAAATACGGCACATGGACCTTCCATTCTGCTCCCTGAAGCCTCCTGTGGGTGGAATCAGGAAGCCGAACCATCCCCACCTCCCTTCCATCTTCTCTTCCCTCTTACACAAGTGCCAGGGACTTGGAAGGTTCATCACTAGTGCCCAGTGGTCAAGGGTGAGAGTGGGATTTAGGGGAGGAAGAGACACCCTGCTACCGGAGAAGCCAGCCCTAGGGGGACAGCCGCCTGGCTAACGACAAAGACAAGGGATGATTGGGTGCTCAGACACTGCTGCCCCTGGCCTTAATGCCATTTTACACCATCAAAAAAAGACTCCTAGTCCCTAACCTAGAAAAAAGGCCTCTGTCCCACACCCCCTGCAGCGCCAGCTTCAGGCTGACCTGGAAGCTGGCCCCAGGGCTGCTGTCCCATCCCGAGCTGCGGCTTGTGACGACTGTGGCAGGTTTCGCCTTTGTGGATCTCGACGGCTTCACTCCAGTCCAGGCCTGGAATTCCTGTCTGGAACAGAGAACACGGTGACAACCTTGCACAGGGTCAGCCCTCCCTTCCCGACTCCCCAGGGGTCACCGCCCTCGCCCCGTGCTTCTTGGAATATTTTCCCGGCGAATATCCACTGCTGAAATCCTGCTTCAGCCTCAGATGCTCCTTTCTCCCCCTACAAAGACAGAGTTAGCAGAGGAAGTGCACTCCCCAGACAGAGCCAGCTCCGGGGGCAGCAGGTCTTAGCTGCCCTGCCCTTGACTTCTGAGCGCTCCACCGTGAAGTCCGCTCCCCCTGATCCCGGAAGGAAGTCGGAGCAGAGGCTTACTCCCACGTTGCAGATGAGCAACAGGCTCAGGCTGTGCAGGGAGTTAGGAAGGAGCCCAGTCAGCACCTGGATCGTATTCATCCCACACTGCCAGCACCTGGGTGTGCTGGGCCTCGGAAACAAGGCAAGCCCCAGCCCTTCCCTCTGGTGCTCCTTGCATTGTCTCCAGGCCACTTCAAGGGGCCCTAGAGGCCCGGAACCAACTGCTCGCCTCCAGCCCAGGTCACTGGCAGCCCTTGTGTCCAGAGGAGGTGTCAGCCTAGACAGCGCCCAGCAGAGCAAAGGTCCTCCATGCCTGGTCGCAATGGAGAAAGAAGAATAAGGCTCAGTGTTGAGTTTTTAGTAATTTGTCTTATTAACTCCCACAAAAGAGAATAAATCTAATGACCATCTCAAAAAACTACAAGATGGTCCAGCTTTTGCATTGCTGTGCACATGGACACTCGTGCATGGGACGCTGGTCTGCACTTGGGAAAGCTGGCTCCCTGGAGGGAAGGGACAAAGCGGGCAGAGCCTAGCTCCGTGTCCTCAGAGTAGCATTCTTTTGAAGAAGACTTAATTCCTCTGAACAAAAAAGCCCTATTTTAATTCTATCAGCTCCCCCTCTAGATGGTGGGCTCGGGAAGGCAGAGACCTGTGTCCGCAGGAGCACCTGGCCGAGGTGACGTTCTGCGGCCAGGGGCAGCACCCACCTCTGGGCTGGGTCGGCTCTTGTCTCCTCCCACCCACAGCCCTGGCAGGGTTTCAGGCCCTGAGGTCAACAAAGCCGCCTTTTCTCCTCGGCAGCGGCACGGCGGGGCACCACTGGGCAGGCCGCGTGTGCAGGGAGCAGCTGTGTCCGTCCGTGGTCAGCACGCGGGTGCCAGGAGGCGAGCTGGGCCAGGGACCTAGCAGATAATCTTTGCTTCTGAAGCTGCGAGGCTCCAAAGACCAGCTGCCCGAGCCATCTGCTGCTCTGTTTCTCCTGGGGAAGCGGGTCCTCCCCTGGGCGAGCCCTTCTGTCCCCAGTGGGGCTGCACCTTGGGCCTGGCAGCCCAATCCTCCTGCCCCAGGGTGGTTGCAGGGGCCCCAGAGCAGGAAGCGACCAGAGCCGGGGACTAGAGCAGTGCCTGTGGCTGCTCCTGGGGCAGGGCTGGTGCTGGAGCCCAGGTGAGAGAGGGGACAGCAGTGAGGATGGAGAAGGGACATCAAAGATGGAAGCAGCAGGACCGGGGGACTGCCCAGGGGAGGAGGAAGGCAGACTAATGGCTCTGGCCAAAGAAGATGATAAAAATCCAGGACTAGCCGAGTGCAGTGTGCCTCCTCTCACCAGGCAGGTTCTACACTGTCGGCCTCACATGGGCCTCAGCCTGACCCTGAGGGCTGCCATCCCTCCCACTGAGGGGCAGGGGCCGCCCGGGGCAATGTGGAGAGCAGAGCCCTGGACCCTGGAAAGAGGATCCGGAGGCCTGGGTTCTCAGCCCAATGTGGCTTCAAACAAATCCCTTAACTTCTCTGAGCCTTAGTTTTCTCTGCTGAAAAGCGGGGCTACTGATCCACATGCACCAAGTTCTGAGCCTTCATGTGGGCGCTTGGGACAGCGGGAGTCAAGTCTTGTGGCACTTTCTCAGCCTTTAACTGACTCTCCCAGGAAGGAAAGAGGAGACTGAGGAAGGAGCTCTTCCAGAAGCGGGTGGAGCTAGAACCTGGGCAGAGCGAATTCTGGAGGGAGGCTCCGGGAGGAGCTGGTCAGGAGGACGGCCCCAGGCTGGCTGGGGCCAGGATCCACTGTGCCCATCTGGCCAAGCAAGTGAGGCAGGCCCGTTCTCATGTGGAGACCAGGGGCCGGGCGAGGCAGAATCTGCTGGGGGAGAGGAGTGGCCACGAGTGCCGATATCTTTGGTTCCCTGATGGCATTTTCTTTGCTCTCTGAATTTCTTTAAACAGTTTGTGTTTGAACTGTTTAAAGAAGGCAGGCAGGATGGAGTTGCTCATGCCCAGTCCTAGAGCTGGGAGGTGGAGGGAGGGTCCCAGAGGTCAGCTGGCACAGCACTGGGGGGAGCCAAGGTCAGCAGTGGTCCCATGTCTCTGCCGGAGGTGGGGATTTGGGAGCCCAGGCAGCCAAGCTCTTGCTATTTCTGCTTTTCAGATGAGACGGTCAGAGAGGCCAAATGACCCACCAAGTTCATAAACCAGAAAGTGAGAGCTCCAACGAGTCCCCACCCCTGCCAGTACTTTGCCACCACTGCAGGACACAGTGCAAGAAACGAAGTGATTCAGAGGAGGCAGCATCTTAGGGGATGATAACCTGTGGGGGTCTCAGAGGCGAGACACACTTGGGTTCCGCTCCTTGCTCCCTGTGGCCTGTGCCAGCCGCTCACTCAAGTTCCTCATCTGCAGAACAGGGACAGCAAGAATTGAAGTGATTCCAGAGGGTTGTTGTGAAGTCTGGGGAGATAATCCGTGGGGAGTCCCGAGCCTGGTGCCTGGGACGTGCTAAGCAGAGAGTAATAACTGCTACCTTGAGTATCAGCAGAGCTGGGGTGCAATCTGCTCCTCACGGGTGAGGGACCACTTCTAATCACCTTTGCTTGAACACTCCCAGGAAGGAGGAGCTCAGCACCACGCAAGACAGCTCACTCCACCGTCAGTCAGTTCTAATTAGTAGAAAGCGCTTCCTTCCCTGAGCTGAAGCTGGCTTCCTGCAAGCTCCACCCCTGTCCTGCTTCTGGCACCTGGAACAGCAGCCATTTGAAGGCGCTGCACACCCAGGACCTCCGGCCGTGCAGACCTCTCCGTTCAGGCACCTCTCCCATCGTGCAGTGGTCAGAACCATACACAGCCTGGCTGGGGCCTGAGCACTGTGACTCAGTGTCTGCTCTGCCCGCAACATTCCCACAGGCCTTGTAGCAGCTCAGCCTGAGCTCCGTGCACACAAGACCCACCCACCCTGCAACCACCGCTCCCCATCAAGTTCCTTAAAAACTCCCCGCCCATGAAGGCACCTCTGGAGAGATAGAATGTTCTGCATGTCTTGATAATGGCGGTGGTGCCCAGGTGTATACAAAAGTCATCCAGCTGTACCCTTATAATGGATGAATTTACTGTATGGAAATTATATCTCAATATAGTTGATTTTAAAAATAATAAAATTGAGGGGGAAAGTTCATACCTTTTTGGCCCTTTAATTCCATGGGTAGGGATTTATTCTAAAGCAATCATGATATCAGCAAAGATTTAGGTCTAAGGATGCTAATCACAGAAGTCTGTTTTTTTTTTTTTTTTTGCTGAGGAAGATTCTCCCTGAGATAACAAACATCTGTTGCCAATCTTCCTCTTTTTCTATATGAGCTGCCACCACAGCATGGCCACTGACAGACAAGTGGTGTAGGTCTGCGCCCGGGAACTGAACCTGGGCCGCCGAAGTTGAGTGCACCAAACTTAACCACTAGGCTATGGGGGCTGGCCCCAGAAGTTATTTTTCTCTCCAAAATAAAATTTTTCTTAAAAGGTAATACATGTACATGTTTAAAAAAAACAACAACAACAGTTCGAAAGAGACAGAGTAGAGTGAAAAGTCAGTCTCCTCCCACCCTGGCAGCAGCATCCCTCCTCCCCTCTCTTCCCTTCCCCAAAGGTTACCATTTCCTCACAAGTCCATTCAAAGATATCCTGTGCTTATTTGAGCAGATATGTGTATATCAATATCCCTTTTCAAAACACAAATAGCAGACATGCTGTTTTGCATCTTGCACTTTTGACATGTACGTATTGAAGATCTGTTATCAGTACATTCTGGGCTTCCCAGTAGCCCAGCCTATGGTGGAGCTATAATTAACCAGTCCTCCACATCAGAGGACAGTGGGACTGTTTCCTTCTCCTGCTGTACAACGTTGCAACACACCTTATACATATAATCCTTAGCTCCCACCCCACGTTCAAGGATACCTGTAGGGAAAATTGCTGGAAGTGGAGTCACTGAATCAAAGGAACAGTGTTTTTAATAGCCTCAAATTAGAAACACCCTAAATATTCAATGATATGAGTAGATTAATAATATTTGGAGACTGATCTATCTAGCTATCTATAAACCTATAGATAGCTGGCAGGCTAGATCAATGTATGGAAAAATGTATACCCATCAGACAAAATACTGCATGTCTATTAAAATTCATGATGTGGAAGAACATCTAGTAACATGGACAGATATCCACCATAGGTGAAAATAATGTGTACAGTAACAATCTAACCATGTAAGAATTATAAATGGATATGCACTCAAATGCAGATTAAGGATTAGAAAGTTTGGGGTGGAGTTAGGGGATATTAATTTTCCTTGTTGTAATTTCCAGTTTTTCTACAGTGAGTATGTATTACTTTTGTAATAAGAGAAAGAAGGGAGAAAGCCCTCAGTAGTCCAGGGGCAGAGCTGAGGAGGGGTGTTTGGGTGGGGAGGACCCACAGACCTGTCCTCAGTGAAAGCCAAGGCAACTGGCTTCAGTCACTCAGTGGGATGGAGGGGACCACCCACTCGGGAGCCCTCTTGGTCCTCACCAGTAACGCCCCTACAGCCTGCGCGCACCCCTCCTACGGCTAGGCCCACCTGGAGGAAGTTAAAGGGAAGCAGATCTTAACTCGGTCGAAGTCAGGGCTTTCTGACATGGCTGCCCACGACGGGAGCGGGCTGTGAGTGAGGCAGTGAGCTACCCCTCAGCCGAGGTGCTCATTCACTCTGAGGCTGGGCAGGGAGCAGGGAAGGCGACGTCTGCAGTCTTAAAATTCATGATGTGGACCAGGGACCAAAGGGGATGACCTCCGAGACCACCTGCACCTCTCGAAGTCGTGTAGGATGGGAGCTCCAGGCGCCTCCTCTTCCCCACCCACCCTGGTCCTCATGGCTCCCGGCCTCAGTTTCCTCCGACCACGGGGTCTGGATGCGATGCGCTCCCCTGCCCCCAGCCCCGTACCTGTACGACGTGGTCGCCGCTGCAGCCGCGTCCGCGTCGCCGATGGGGAGCACGTAGACCCCCCGGCTGGAGGGCGCGGGGGGCTTGCCCCTCCGGCCGCCCCGCCCTGGCCCTCGCTCCTGCGGCGCATCTCTGGGCCCCGCGGGCGCCGTCCACACGCCGAAGTCCCGCTGGTACTGAGTGAGCGGCACGTCCCGGCCGGGGTTCCGAGCGCCGGCGGGGGCCCGGCCCCTGCGCGAGGCGGCGCCGCCCGGGCCCGGCTCCTCGCTCTCGAGTTCCGAGTAGCTGTGCAGGGTCAGCGGCACCGCCACGTCGGAGCGGTCCAGCTGGTTCCAGCGCCGCGCCAGGCAGCAGAGGCGGCTGATGCAGGGCCACGCCATGCCGACCCCGGCGCCCGCTGCTCGGCTCCCGGCGCTCCGGGCCGCGCCG